AGCTCTGAAAGTATTCGACGCAGTACCCGCCGGGGGAAGCAGAGGAAGAGGAAGACCTCCCCTCCGTTGGAAGGACCAAGTGGAGAAGGACCTGGTTTCAATTGGAATATCTAATTGGCGCCACGTAGCGAAAAGAAGAAACGACTGGCGCACGGTTGTTAACTCTCGCGTAAGCGGTGACTACGCCAATCAAGAAGAAGAAGAAGTTGACTTGAGGTCACGAAAAACTCAAAAGAAAAAAATTTATTTCCAAATTTATAGTTGCTTGTGTTGACCCAGTTCCTAAAAAAACTGTACTTGCGGTGACAACCATAAGTCCTTGGAGATTCTTCTAAAATCAATCGGACAAAAAAATTAGTTTTATAAATAGATAATCCTGGGCCTGATCGAAGGATTCCTTTCAAAATTAACAAAATGGCTGCCTCAGGAAATTTTTTCTAAATCTTTGGGAAAAAATCTAACTGTTGATTGGTCTTAAAAAATCAAAATTTTTGAAAAAATAAAAATCCTTCGATCAGGCCCGGATTTTGTTATTTATTCTAAAAGCTGTATAAATTCCATTAAAATCTACTGAGCGGTTTTCGAGTTACAGTTGTCACCAGTTCAAAAAACATAGTTTTGAGAAAAGCGCGTTGAAAATTTCACACTAGCGCTTTAAAGTGCCCTAGCTCTCTTTKTTATTTGTCGAATAACTCAAAAACTATTTATTGGATCAACGTGAAATTTTCAGAGAATATTTTTAAGATATTATATATTTTATATATATTACTTAACGAAAGAGCAAAAATTTATTTTTTGAAATTCTGAATACCCCTAACCCCTTAAGATGACACTTAAATTAATTCCAATTGCCGTAAGAAATTACAATAACGGTCTGTGATCTAAAATCTAAAGCTTGAGGAAGGTGTTTCACATATAATTACATAATATATTAAAATAATGCAAAATTAATTTAATTTGTTATCTACTCGCCAAAGAAAACTTCGAGTTTACAACAATAAAAAAAGCTTGCAGTGTATACCATTACTATTATTCAGAGTAGAGATTTGTATAACGCTGAACTTTCTGAAATATTGTCTARCACGAAAGACAAATATACAATACATGTTAGGTCAGTAAAATTTAAACCAAAAGTGCAATCCATTGGCACACTCACTGACACATTATTATTATCTTTATATATTTATATCAATACAAACTTGTTTAACAGTACTGATGTCATGAGGCAATGAAAAACTTAGAAAGGGCAGATTATTCATGTTTAAATCCGGAAATTGTTTGTCGGTTACYTCAACATATTTCCTTCTTGTGGTACCTACTCATCCAATTAACTAAAACCCAAAAATGTAAACARACGGAAATGAATGAGTAGTGTAAAAACTAAACGACGGTATAAACCTAAAAATAATTACAGAAACTCATTTCTTTTAATTTCTACGAACWTCCGACGCGTGTAAATATCGTTTCTATGTATGAGCAAAGGTCCGGTAGGAAATTTTAAACCTTAAATTTATGTATATAAAWGTTTATACTATTATCACTTTAACGTTTTAATTAAAAATTGAGGATACAAAATTATTACATATTTTTCTTTCAGCAAGTAGTTTATAATTAGATTTTTTATAAAAATATTTTAACATTTCTAAAACTGTTCTTTAATTTAATTAACACGAACTTTACAGCTATAAAATTTGTAATATCTTTATTATAAATCTCACAAATGATACAATTGAAAAAGTAAATTTTGCTGTCAAACTAAAATGAAAATAAAAAAATTATATAACAGCAATTGTTCGCATTCTCAAAATCCAATTGTGAAGTTTTGTGCTATTTTGTTCTAATATACAAATTTATTTTTAAATTAAAGAATATTTGTGAAAAGTTACGTATCGTAAATTTACGGTATGCACAAAAGTTTTATTTTCAAAAATTGCAACCCTKCAAACTTGCAGACGCCATTACTCGCTCACGTATGTGTGTTAATCAATGAAAATACGTTTGTTTATTCTCTGCCAACTCACATATCGTTTACGTTCGTATGTATAAACATACACACATGCATATGTATTTCAATGCACACACAAATGTTTGTACATATYTTTATGAAAATTCCACTGAGGTCAGCCATTTGTACGAACAACTATGCACACACATTTCTTGTTGAACTAATTACATGTACAGAGTCCAAATACGTATTCATATATAAATAGTTACACTATTCTTTAATAAATTTTAGCGCACTTATTTTCACAAATACCAATTGTGCTGTATGTTTTATATATAAATGTGCTAATCAATTTAACAAATCAATGTGGTTGGAGCTCACCTTGATAATTTTTCTCTTTTGTCGAAAAACTCAAGTCTTTGTGTTACAAATATGTATATTCACTTTACGAAGTTACACAAACCGGTTCAAATAAACATCGAAAACATATGATTTTAAAAATGTTTAGTTTTATTCGTCTTTTTTTATTTATTAACAATTTGGAAAAAAAACACTGAATATAATTTTACCAATATTCTGCGACTTAAAATTAAGTTTTACTTTCTCAGACAATGAGTGTGCACCGAATGCCCGATGACAAAATACGAACTAACTTCATTCTCTCTCTCTGGCATACGTTCACTTGCGGGCTGGCGTTGCCACAAATGCCAAATAATAATACTTGAAACACAAAAATTATGCTACAAGTAGCGCAATTCTCAGCGAATGTCTTTTTATAGAGTTATCAGACTTTGTTAACAGCAAACGAATAATATATATAGTTAGTTTAGTCRGCTAAAATCACAAATACTGCTGATTATATATATGTCAATATTTTTGTCGAAATTCGAATACACTTAGCGAAAGTGGCATTATCAAAGAGACTGCGCATTAGGGTACTCAAATTTCATTCAATACTATATAGCARTGTTGCCATTTACGATAGTTTTCTTTCAAATATTGCGATAAAAACTGCTAAAATGGGGATTAATGAGAATATTGAGCTATATTTATTTTTATAGTATGTGTTTTAAAGGGTGCATAGAAAAAGAAAGCTCTACAAAATGAATAACTGCATGAAGTATAGTAATTGATACTCACTGGAAGCGATAATACTAATAATACTTTTGATGCTAATACGCAATCAAATCACAAATTGTGTACGATTAAGAGTGGCACATGCCAAATTTATATCTCCAATAAGCAGTGATTTATAACACTTGTGTCAGTTACCAATATTGCCAGCACATACCCACGTTCCAACTCTAGCACGTGCTACAGTCACCTGCACCTGATTCTGGTTACCTAACAGTATGATTAGGTCTCGAGATGCATATGCATACTCATACAAACACACATATTTCAATTAATTGCTTGCAAACAAAAACAACAACAACAAAAGCAAGTGAATCRGTAGATGCAGCAAAAGCAGCTGCGGCAGATGTTTCAGTTTTCGTTTGATTCAATTGAATTTCGAAATCGTATGGTATTGTTTGGCATATATGGTTCTACTTAAATTTTAACAGTCCATATAAATTTGCATCTGGTAATAATACCCTGAACACGGTATGTGTTATTGAGTTCGCCACGAAATTTGGTATACCCAGAAAGAATCGTCGAAAACCCCCCACTAAATGATAACCTGATGAGCTGAGTCGATTGCCCGTATGTACATCGACGAGCTCGTCGTCCTTCAGTTTTTGAAATAACTGAAATTTTGTGCAACTCGAGAAAATTTCAAGGGAATAACTTTCAAGCGCARCTAAACTACAAGAAATTTTTGTATTTCTCAGTTTGTTTCTCATTTTAATTGTTCTTTGGTTACGATTATATCTCGTAAATATAAACCCGCCGGTATGGTTTTGTTTTCAAAATTGCAACACGTGTCAGTGCAATCGCTATAATGATATGCAAATAAATAAGTTATTACGGCTTTGCATTGATATTACTATTGAGTCACATCCTGAGTCGATTTCTTTAGAAATAAAGAAATTAATAAACTTATGCTGTCATCAATTTCTATTCAGAGGAAGTTGACGAACGATTTTTTAGGAATATTATATAAAAAGAGATTACTAATCGTCTTTGAAATTTGAGGTTATCTTCTATGGACTTAAACTACAAGTGTAACAAAAGTTCTGTGGAATCTGMGATTACCTGCAATGGAGATTTCCAAAAACTATAAGAAAAATGTGAGCTGATGAAACAAAAAAGTTGACAATTTAATAATCGAGAGAATATATTTTGCACAAAAAAACGCGATGGCATTAATTATAGATGGATTAAAACTTATTGGAGATACGAGTATTGCAGGCATCTTTCATTTTCCATTTCTGTATTAAGACCATAAATTTATCAGACAAGGAACCGGTTTCCAWGCTTGCCAAATCTCTTCTCCAACTCATTTGAAACAAATGTTGAAGTTTAAAAGAAAAAGAATTCGAAGAAAAAGTTCATTAAACTGCRAGCACTTGCACATTAAAAGGAACGTATTTATGTATATACATATGTACATGTGTATGCCTGTTGGTATGAGGTGCATGATTGTATGATTACTTTTGCAATACRTACATATGTTATCCAGTGAAGATCTAATGCAAGTGGCAAGAATGTGTACGCCTTGCAAAATGCCGCATGTGGAACGAAGTGAAATGTCTGGCGTCTAGACGGAAGATCTGGGCAGTCAGCCAAAGTATATTTATAGTAATGTAATCATTGAGGAAATCGTAAACTTCAAATGACTTCAAAAGTACTATTTTAAAATGCAAAAGACATTAGTGAACGCAAACTTCTGCATAATGCCTTCTACGAGTTTGTCCATAAACATTTAAGTAGAGAGACATATTTATTGAAATATACTGAAATAAAATAAAATAAATCGACACTTGATAATGTCTGCATACTTGGATGTTATCGTTAAAATCGAAATCGATTTTTGTAATTCTTATAAATCGGTCTTTAACTTATTAGCAGTGTATTTTAGTGTTATTAAATGAATTTTAGATTACATTAAGTAAGCTAGAGATTATCTACTCCGACAGATAAATTTGCAACTGATGTACTAAGAGTTCTGTGAGGTATTTGGAGGCGTCCTCATTACGAATTTGAGTTGAAATATTTTCCATCACGCACAGCTGTTTTTTTTTTTTCATTTTACTAAATGATTGTCGTTGGAATCCGCAAATCCCTTGATTATAACACCAAAAATCCTACGTGTTAAGAAATTTTTGGTATCATTTTCGGTTTTCTACCCTAAATTAGCAGGMATCTGTCGCAAAATGTCTGCAAACAAGTAATATTATAGCTATTTTTCTACCATAAAAAAGTAAAGTACGGGAATTTATTTTGTTATTTACGCTTTCTATAATATACAATAGATCCGTTGCTTACTGATTAAGACACATAGATTTATATTTCCCGGGTTTACTGATAAAATTGAAGTATTTGTATGATTAAAGCAAGAAAAYACGTTAACTTCGCTTGRACAGAAACATAATACACTTCACGAATAGGAAAACTTCCATACACAAACTTGACTTTGATYGTTTGTATGGYAGCTACTACATACAAGGTGCGTTCCAAAGTAAACAGRGCTTAAAAAAACGGAACAAATGCTTTTTTCGGCAAAATCAATTTAACTTATTCAAAATAGTTTCCTTTTGCTTCAATACAGCTTTTTGCACGGTCCCAAAGCCTGTCGAACGAGTGTTTTAGCTCGTTGGCCGGTACGGCTGCCAGTATGCCGGTGCTTTTGAATGGCCTCACGTCTGCATAACGCTTTCCTTTCATGGGTAAATGCATTTTTCCGAAAAGGAAGGAGTCGTTAATGGTTTAAATGTGATTTTTGGTCAAATAATCGGTCACAAGAATCGAGCAATTCTTGGTCGTCAGTCAATTTATGCGGAACAAACGAGATATATGGCAATATTGACATATGTACATAGTTCAGCGAATCAAGAGTCAGTGCCTGCGCGGTCATATCGTCCGAATGGATAAAAGCACTCTAGCTTTGAGGGTATTAGAAGTGTACCCTCCAGTGGAAGAATAGGAAGAGGAAGGCCGCCGTCCGTTGGAAATACCGAACATTTTATACTCTCGAAATTTGTAAGGATCAAAGACGAGAATTTGTATTTTATAATAAAACTATGTACATATGAATTCTATTAAAAAAGTGTTCGAAATAATTCAGGAAAACCATAAATATGAAAACAATATATGTATCGATATTTCTTAAGTAAAAAAATTTTTTTTTTGCTCCAAGTGAATTTACTTACGAAATCACTGTTGTTGTTTACGTCACATACATATGTACATATGTACATAGATGCTACATATTTCTCCGTTACATTTATATGCTGATAAGAGCTAATTAGCTACGATGAATAGAATGATGGGGAATACAATAGATTTTGCACACGCACCACTTGGAGTATAGGTCARTATTGTTATGAAATTAACTAAATGCATTTTTCTTGAAATAAATCTTCGAGGTTCTTGTGAAATATGTACATATGTATATATGTATGTACATTAGAGCGGATCSATTTTTKTCATTAATAGTACCGAGCGTGCCAGTAATATTTTAAGGATAATTTTGAAAAACTTTACCTAAGAGACTATGTGTCTAAAAACAGTTCCCAGCGAAGTTTAAAAAATCCGAAAAGTCGGTTATATGCAAGATATGTGATATTGTATATGGAAGATATATGATATAGTTGTCCGATCTCGATCCGATTCCGACAACTGATCATTACATTGATATTCTATTATCAAAATGCACCTACATACATATGTACGTATGTATTAAATTTCATTCGGATATCTCAAAAACTGATGGATCAAAATGCTTTGCCTCAAAAATTGCTGGCTCGAAACCGGTTTTAGATCCATAGCCTCTTGGCCAAAGTTGTTCAGAATGATCCGTAAACCATTTCCCGCATATGCGATTTTTCCATTTTTTGGCGAAATAACGAGAAAAAAATTAAATTTTTAATTTTTACTATTAAAAACTTACGGAAAAAATATAAAAAAAAATTTTTCACTGTTTGAGAATCTAAACTTTTCTTTGTTTTCAAATGACCAGAATGTGAAAAACAGGCCACTTTTCTCTCCAATACTTCATTGACTGACTGTAAAAGCTGGCAGTGTCCGTGAAATTTATTTTCAAAGGTTTTGTATATTTCACAACGTTATACTTACATACATACAGACATACATATACTATATGTACATTCATATTGAAACTATCGATAAGTAATTTGACTGGCACATGGATTTGTCTCATACTTTAGAACTTCAAAATTGTTACAACTACTTTGAAACAAGTTATATCTTTTTAATTGCCACTAGACGGCCTTGCAAGGCCTTTCGAACTAAGTGAATGACCAGTGCGGTTGAGTTGCTTGCATGGATTTGCCAAAGCTCTGTGACTTTTCGAAATGCAATTCGCATGAGCTCATGCTTGCCATATGGTTGCAATATATTGCTAATATACATATTTATATGTGTGTATGTGACGGTGCATTCTTGCGTTGTTAAACAACTATAGTATAACTGATCATGACATGAACGCGTGCCCAAGCAAG